ATCGAATGGGCCATAGCATCTATGACAAAGGCTACTAATACCTCGTCACAAGAAGCTAAACGAGAACGCTTATCACGAAGTGACGCCAGGACACTGGAAGGGAAGGAGCAAGATTCAGCACAAGGAAACAGCAATCAAGATGAAAGCTACGTACCTTCAAGATCGACAGAGTTGACAATCAACACGAGCTTACAACCATCCTCAGCTTTCACTCAATACAATTTTCGGAGTAAAAACATGATACCTCGTACACATTCAAACCAAAGGAAGACTAGCCAACAAATCCAAGAAGCCACACTCACGGCAGCAGGTCCACAAAAGACACAAACACAGTTTCATGGTGACAGTGTTTACAAAGAAATTGAGGTGTTGCAACAACATCTGGCAAAGATAGAAGCAGGCAGGCAGAGGTATGTAGAACCAGCACACACAGTTTCAGTAGAAAAAGCCTTTATAGACGACATCATCAGGGAACCTGTGCCATCAAACTTCAAAACTCCGCAGCTAGCTGAGTACGATGGAACTCAAGACCCAGTGGAGCACGTGCAAGGATATAGAATGGCAATGATGGTATATGGAGCCTCGAATGCCCTATTATGCAAGCAGTTCCCAGCAACTTTCAAGAAAGCTGCGCAGGCTTGGTTCGCAACATTACTAGAAAAATCTATCCATACCTTTGATCAATTTGCGAACATGTTCATCAATCACTTCACTGCCAGCAGAGCTCCCCGAAAGACTAACCATCATCTCCTAACAATTAAACAAAAAATAGGAGAGTCACTAAGAGCCTACATAGCAAGATTTCACAACGAAGCTGTGCAAGTAGAACGATTGGACCAAAGCGTGGCAATGCATGCTCTAATGGACGGACTTAAAGACTCAAGTCTCCATAGATCTCTAAACAAGCGAGAACCCACCAGCCTTAATGATCTCTTAAGAAGGGCGGAAGGATACATCAGAGCAGAAGAAAGGGCGGCAGTAAAAGAAGCACAAGAAACATTAAATTCAGAAAGAAAGCGGAAAATAGAAAAAGATATAGATAATGAAAGTACCAAAGACAGAAAACAGTCAAGATACAACTACCTCCATATTTGAAGAAGCTTTGTTACAATCACATTCAACCACATCAAATGATGAATCAAATTCTACAAGGCAAGATAGACATCTCAAAATTCTACATGCACAAATCTTAAAAGAAAGCTGCGATCCCAGCTAAGTATATTTACTTTTTAATTCTCTAATTTTCAACCTCAATAATCATGCAAGTTATTGTGTTTTTAAGAAAACTAACCTTTCTTTTGGGAGAAGGCCACATAGGCCAAAAAGCTCCAAGCAAAGGAATTCAATTACAAGATGCACAAGTCTAACAAGAGTTATGAGACAAAAAGTCACAAAGCAAAAAAGCTGCGAGCAAGTTTGGATGTACATAAATATCCAAACAAAAGTTACGCAAGCAAGAAGAAGCTGTGAGCAAGTTTGGGTGTACATTAAAATACCCAAGCAGAAGTTACACAGACAAATAATAAAGCTGCGA